ACCTCGTGTGTACAATCTTAGATTACGTTGATCGGCAAGAAATGGTTTAATAAGGCGATGACTTGAAATCGTCAGACCTTCGATCAATGCCGTATTGAAGTGTTTGATGATGACAATAACCATTTGCTAAGTTCGGGAGGGAGAGGGTGCCTGCGACGCCTGAAGCTATACATAAATCTTGTATATTCTATGCCTTCCCGCCTGCTGAGAGGAGTCGGGGTTCAGCGAGGTTCGACGGAATATCAACATGGCGAAGGGACGCGGTATGGAGTTAAACGGATGAAAAAAAAGAAGCTTGGAGTGACATGATTTATCCCAATGCTCTCTTTCAGTCTAATTGGCTTGTTCTGAGCAGTATTCGTAATAGACGTGGTTTGAGGATATTGCAAGAGCGGACAGTTCATTCATCCTAATGAGCTTTGTCGTGGGCAGTAGAAGTAGAATCCTTGAAATTAATTAGATATGATCATACTATTTAACTTGAAATCGATCCCACGTATACCTGAACGGATTGAAAAGAGAGTGAACATGCCTTCGAAACGAACCGCTTGTTATCCTGGTAGTTGTTTTGATCAGCTGATTGGCAGAGCGTGGTAGGGAGAAAGTCATATTCACACATGTTAAAAATTCTGTTAGAAATATAGAAGATCGGTAGCTTTTTGCGAAAGTTGAGTTGGAGAGTTGCGAATTTTACTCAGGATACGAGGTTATGATACTTAAGTTATTGCTTATGAAAGTTGACCACACAGGATACGCTACGAACTTTTAGACTTGAAGGTATCATGAAAAGTAATAGCTAGAAAGAAAATCAGCAAGTTATTATTACGTACTAGAGAACCGAACCAGAGAACGTTACATAACAAGACCTCGTGTGCGACTACAAACTTTTTCTTCCGCTATCATGATTATCATTCAGTTCGTGACTTTATAGTAAGGATATTTTTCTGCTCTGCGTCCGGGGCGGTCTAGGAATAGCCCTTGCAACCCGGAAGGAGGCGTTCGGGGCGGCTGAACGGGCAAAGGGGCGCGCCTGCTGACAGCTGTTTTCGAGACCACGGAACAAGGGCGTGGAAGGGTTGTTACAAAAGGGTTTCTTGTCATCACCCTAATATTGTCTTTCAAATGGTGATCTCGAATCCCGTACAAGATGTGGTAATGAGGGAGAAAATTCATACGATACCCATGCGATGTGAACCAGTGGGGAGACCTCACCCCCCCCCCCGCCTCCCGAGACCCTCCTTATCGTATAACACACACGCACACACACACACATATATACATCTATGTACATATAGGTATATATATGTACATATATATGTATATATATGCATATATAGATAGATAGATAGATATATAATGTATGTATATATTCATTTATATATGTGTATGTGTATATATATGTAGGTGTGTGTATATATGTATATATATATATATATATGTATATATGTATGTATGTATGTGTATTTATTTATTTATTCATTTATATGTATATATAGGTATGTATAAAAATATATATAATATATATATATATATATATATATATATATATATATATATAACATACACACACATACACAACACACACACACACACACACACACACACACACACCACACACACACACACACACACACACACACACACAACACACACACACACACACACACACACACACACACACACACACACACACACACACACACACACACACACACACACACACACACACACACACACACACACATATTTATATATGTATATATATTTATTTTTATAGTGTATGTATGTATATATATGTATATATATATATATATATATATATATATATATATATATATATATACACATACATACATATATATACATATGTATGTATGTATGTACATACATACCTCTATAGATACATATATAAATAAATATATATATACATACATATATATATATATATATATATATATATATATATATATATATATATATATATATATATATATATTCCGCACAAAGATTTATAATAGTGATAATGGTAGTCTTAAATCTACCTTATACTGAGATGGTTTTCTGGTAACTTTATATTATTACGCTTTCATAATATAAAAGTCGCAGATACTTTGATAAAAAAACGAAAAGATAAATGCACTGACATGAATAGTCGTGGGTTACAAAAATAAACCACTGAACACTTTATTATAAGCCTTTCTATCTCTGTCTCTATCGCTCCTTCTTGTTCTCTTTCTCCTTCTAGTTCTTTCTCTTCTCTTTCTCTGTGTCTCTCTCTATCTTTATCCGCTCTCTCTCTCTCTCTCTCTCTCTCTCTCTCTCTCTCTCTCTCTCTCTCTCTCTCTCTCTCTCTCTCTCTCTCTCTCTCTTCTCTCTCTCTGTCTCTCTCTCTCTCTGTCTCTCTCTCTCTCTCTCTCTCTCTCTCTCTCTCTCTCTGTCTCTCTCTCTCTCTCTCTCTCTCTGTCTCTCTCTGTCTCTGTCTCTCTCTCTCTCTCTCTCTCTCTCTCTCTCTCTCTGTCTCTGTCTCCCTCTCTTTCTCCCTCTCTCCCTCCCTCCCTCCCTCCCTCTCTCTCTCTCTGTCTCTGTCTCTGTGTCTCTGTCTCTGTCTCTGTCTCTCTGTCTCTCTGTCTCTCTGCCTCTGTCTCTCTGTCTCTCTGTCTCTCTGTTTCTCTGTGTCTGTCTGTCTCTCTCTGTCTCTGTCTCTGTCTCTGTCTCTGTCTCTGTCTCTGTCTGTCTCTGTCTCTGTCTCTGTCTCTGTCTCTGTCTCTCTCTCTCTCTCTCTCTCTCTCTCTCTCTCTCTCTCTCTCCCTCTCCCTCCCTCTCTCTGTTTCTCTCTCATAGAAATCGTGTTGAAAAAGTCCAAATATCCGATGTTTGTTTACACTCCAGTGGCGCTAAATTTAGTTATGAAAGATCATCGAAAGCGTTTAACAAGACACATACATACACACACACAAGTAAATTTTCTTATTCTTACGTGGGTTCGGTTGTGTTGAGTGATATCATTCTCATACGTCTCCTTCCTAAATTCTTACCTGAATGATATGAAAAAAAGCATTCTTTCATGTTTTTTGGAAGAATAAAGTACCGTGTGATGAGAAGACACCTTAACAGACGGGAGCAATCTGAGAATAAAAGTCAGAGTCGAGTAATGTTTCAACAGAGCATTTTAGAACTCAAATGTATTTAACCCATTTAGCGTTTTCATCACCCTAGCTTCACCTTCACCGGAACATCTTGGGGATTTACGAAAGACAATTGGAAACATAGTGATAGAAGTAGTGGGTAAGTTTTGAGGGATGCTTATATCAGAAAAAAAACAAGACGTCAGCTCGTTTCCCTTCGACAGGTGTTTGCGGCCTGGGCCTGGCAGCGCAGTCGGCGAGGAAGGTGTCGTACTCGTGCTACGACCTGCACGAGGTGTCGGGCAACCCGCTGGCCGACGTGGCGGCTCGCGAGCGCCCCCTCAGCACCCGCAGCCGGCCCCGAGATCGCCCCGCGGGCTGGGGCGTCCCGCCGAAGCCCGTCCAGCCGCAGCGCCGCCACGTTTACGTCACGCGCTCTGCCCCGCGACCCTCCTACGGGAACTACGACGCCCACTCCAGCAGCCCCGCCCCCAGCAGTACCCACATCCACTGCGCCATGAACGGGAGCGCGGGCGGCCTCCCGTCGCAGTCGTGGACGTCGAGTCGGCACTTCCGGCCTCCGCCCATCCGCCCCAGGGTCTACAGTGACTGCCCCAGGGGCACCACCGCCTCCCGCAGCCTCCGCATCAAGAAGTGGCTCCAGAGCAGGCAGACCAGGTGCAGGGCCTTCTGTTCAGTCTCTAATCTTGAATGAACATATACACTGGTGTTTACAAACTTAAATGCATGCATACATACATGAAGGCATATTTGTCCCTCCCCTACACACACGCACATACAGCTAGGTATGCAAACAAGCACGCGTGCAGATATAAATATTTGTCTGGGAACCCACGAATAATTTGTTATTTCACTGTCACATTCGGCGTAATGCATATCTTCCGGCCACAGTTGCATCTCACTCTCGCCATTTTCATGCTTTTATGGCCAAGAACCGACTATTTTCTCGCCCCGCCAGCATGGGATCGCAGGACCCGTCGTTCGCATCCGTGGACGAAGGCGACGAAGAAGGACGACTCCGAAGCCACTTCCTGGACGACATAACCGAGGTTTCGGAAAACGTCTTCAATCGGAAGTAAGTGGCATTTCGATTTGGCTCGTAATTACTTGTTATATGGATGGATATTGATGAAATACGGTGAGATTGGTTGTTTTGAGGATGAAATTATTGGCCTGAAGATTCGATGAGCAGTGCTATTTGGCGGGCTATTATCCACTGGGCCTAGTGGACATGTTCACAGTAGTGATAGCAAATATGAGAGATAATACTGATATGCTGAACACACCCATTTGCTCTGGAAATGAGACACTAACGCCCGCCCGCCGCCGCCGCCAGGGAGAAGCGCACCTTCCGCGTGAGCGCCATGAAGACGCGTCGGCGGCGCCAGTGGCGGACGACGGCCGACCGCGAGATCAGCCCCGCCTCCGAGACCAGCCACGTGGACAGCGAGGCCAGCGTCACCTTCGACAAGACCCTCCTCGAGGTCACCGAAGGCTGGAACTCGCAGGCGGTGCGGGAGCATCGCATCAACGCCCTCAGGTCCTTCCTGACGACCAGGAACCAGCCTCTCGCCGTCCTCAACCTCCTGGAGGCCGGCAAGATATCCGAGGCCATCGCAATGGCACGAGAGTGCAAGGTGCGCGTGCAGCTGGACGTGTGTCTGCTGTGGGCGTGCCAGCAGGGGGCGGTGGACATCGTGCGCTCCCTGGTGGCCGCAGGCGCCAGCGTGGAGGCCCAGGACAGCGACGGCTGCGGCACGCTCCACCTGGCAGCGGAGAGCGGATCGGAGGAGGTGATCCAGGCGCTGGTGGAGGCCGGGGCGAAGGCGGGCTCCTACAGGGACTGGGACCTGCACGAGAAACTCACGCCCCTGATGATGGCCGCCCGGAGTGGGTGCGTCGGCGGCATCAAGATCCTGCTGGGCGCGGGCGCAGACATCGACGCGGGGCTCGACACCACCGGCGAGACCGCGCTGCACCACGCCGTCCGCGCCGGCGCCCCCGAGTGCGTGCAGCTGCTCATCAGTTCGGGGGCGACGGTGAACCCCACCACGCTCTACAGCGAGTCCCCTCTCCACGTGGCTGTGTACGAGGACTTGCCCAACGTGGTGGACATCCTCCTGAGCGCCGGGGCCAACGTGAGGGCCTCGAAGGGCACCAGCAAGATGACCGCCCTCCACATCGCCTCCAACGAAGGCTACTACACCATCGCGCACCAGCTGCTCAAGGCCGGCGCCAACCCCAACCAGGAGAACCAGATGGGGCAGACGGCGCTGCACTTGGCCGCCAAGTCCCAGAGCTACGACACGGTGCAGGTGCTCCTCAGCTTCAGCGCCGACCCGAACGCTCGCGACCGCGACCTGAAGACGCCCCTGCACTACGGCATCTTCAAGGGCTCGAGGTCGCACGAGTGCCTCCGGCTCCTGCTGGAGGCGGGGGCGGACACCAACGCGGCGGATCTGTCCGGCTACACGCCCCTGCACATCGCCGCCGTCCACGACTCCTCCTACTGCGTCCTGCTGTTCCTGAATCACGGCGCCGACGTGACGGCGCGCACGCAGGGCGGCGTGTCGGCCCTACACCTCATCCTCCGCAGGACTCCGACGGTCCTCGCGACCATCCAGGAAAACCTCGACGCCGCCATATCCTTCACCGACCATGACCATCAAGAGAGAGATTCTCAGGTCAGTTTGCGTAGCTCTTTAGGAACTTCTTGGCTTCTGTGGCGCCTTTTTACCTTATCACAGCATTTTGATACGTGTGATATTTTGCTACAGCATTTTTTAAATTCACGATTCCTCATTACCTTCTTGGTATTTACGGTACTGTGGTAATATACTTTCCATTATTACCTTTTTTTTCCAAAGCTCTTTTTGGTAGTAACAGAAACCCTGTCTTTAATTTGTCTATGCATTTTTTTCAGGCCCAGATAAACTTCCGTGTGTTGGTACCTGGCGACACCATTGGTATGGAAAGCCGAATGCTCTCGTGCTTCAGTCGTGAAGGTCAGAAGTTACTCCTGAAACACCCTGTCTGTGAAATCTTTCTCTTACTGAAGTGGCTTCGGGTCCGAAACTTCTTCATTTTCAACCTGATCTTTTACTCCGTGTTGGTCGCTTTACTGTCTTGCTACATCATGGTGGTGTTCCCAGCAGCCTCGTGCTACCACCTGAACGCCACCACGCAGTCCAAGCAAGCTGCTGAGCCTCAAGGTCCTTTTGAGGACGAGGAAGATAATCTCCTGAGAAGGGATTGTGGCCTGCACTACGAAGCCTTCATGGTCAGTCTGCTGTACATCATTTGGTTCGGTTTTGGGATCTTGCTCCTGAAGGAGATTTTCCAAATGATCGACACCCCGAGGACTTACTTCTCCTCGTGGGACAACGTCCTCATCTGGCCCATCATCATCTTGACGCTCACCATCACCATTTCGTCGTACGTCCGCCACGACACGAGGAACTGGGAGCACCACCTGGCCGCCGTCGTCATCCTCCTGACGTGGGCGGAGCTCCTCTCGCTCATCGGCAGATTTCCTTTGTTCGGGGTCTATATCCACATGTTCACGCACGTCACCAAGAATTTCGCCAAGTTCCTGTGCGCGTACGCGTGCTTGCTCACTGCCTTTTCGCTGAGTTTCGGCGTGCTCTTCCCCAACCAGGAGTCGTTCGGGAAGTACGGATATAGGCTGATAAAGACGATGGTCATGATGACGGGCGAGATCGAGTACAACGATTTGTTTTATGGCGACGAGAAGCTTCTGTATCCGGAGACGACTCACATCATATTCTTCGTCTTTCTCATTTTCGTCACAATCATCCTCATGAATCTGCTCGTTGGTCTCGCCGTTTCTGACATCCAACGACTGCAGAAGTCGGCGGGCCTCGACCTCCTCGTGCGGCAGACGGACCTCATCTCGCACTTCGAGGCCATCATGTTCAGCAAGTGGCTCAAGTGGATCTTGCCCAAGGGAATCCTTGGACTGCTGCACCACAGGATATCCCTGTGCCCATCGCTGTACGGCTGGACGCACGTCCTGACGCAGAAGACGTTGCAGGACACGGGTCTCCCCCAGGAAACCATGGACGTGGTCCTCCGCATCGCCCGCACCCGCGACCACGTGTCTCGCCGCAGGAACGCCTTCGCCAACTTCCGCACCCTCAGCAAAACGGCCCAGTACTCGAACGACGCCGACGGCAACGTGGAGAGCAGCATGGACGCCCTCCGCTTCGGGCTGGACCTGCTCGTGTGGGATGCCGACGAGAGGAGAGATGACGCCAGGCAGATGAAGGACGACCTGGCGATGGTCTCGTCCGAGGTTGAGAACATGGCGCAGATCATGAACGCCATAACCATGCAGAAAATGTGTACGTCTTGCCAGCAAGGAGACGAGCGATCGAGCATTTACACGTCCTGTGAAACGATGGACTTCTCTAATGGCGGTAACCCTACATTACGTCTTAAGGTCCCTTCCAGCGAGGCTTCATGTCATTAACAGGGCAATATTATTGCGTAGTTCTAGGGTGTCAGACTCAGAAACCCTTCGCTGGCCAAGTTTCATTTCAGGTACCGTCTCCAAGAAAGGCACATACCTGGTTTTCTAAGATTATGAGACGCAATAACATGTATATCACATTTTCATTCATGACATCACAGGCTAATAATTATTACTGTCACCCTGCGGGCCACTTATGACCATCCCATGGGCCACATATGGTCTACGAGCCACGAGTCTGACACCCCTGGTTTAGCGTGTAGCAAGAACTTCATGGTACCACATTTAGCATTTGCTATGGGTTCTATAGTTCTGGGGACTTTACAGCTTGATTCTTCCCTTCCAGAACGTACAGTAGAATCAAATTACTAGTTTAGTCCACTGTCAGCTCATAGATTATTCATGTCATTTTGGTAGTACATACATTTGAATACAGATTAAGCAGTCATTCACAAGAACAGTGTTGATTACACAAATACGCCCACACAGGAATGCTTAAATAGTTAAGTATGCACAAGTCATCTTACTAATCTAAGAACAAGTGGAAGGTTAGTAAATCAAATGTCAAACTGCGAACTTATGTGTATATGAAATTTTAAAGGATGAATGAAAATGCAAATAAAGTTACTGATCTCAATATGCTTATGACAACCACACATGCATGCATCATTTACATTCTTAATTGAAGAGAATACATTGTGAGGAATGTAAGTGAGAATGAGTGACATGATAAATGAAGAAATTGTCAAGTTAAATGTATACAAAGCAGGTTAAAATATAAAGTTGAGTAACTTCACCAAGGTGTAGTGATATATCTGCTGTTATTTTCAGCCAGATAACTTTACAGAATCAATTTATAAACAGTGTTAAATTGCATATCAGCATTCCTTACACCCCTCTATTCTGATTCACAAAGTTTGGTATTATGGTAAAATTGCAATGGAATAATCACATAATCAACTTATTTTTTATTAAGTGGAATAGGATTACTCCATTGTTATAATGGTGACTAATAGGTAGTTCCTAACAAGTCACAACATAATAGTCCATTTCTTTTGTAGAAATGCATCCAGCTGTCCTTTCTAATGGGTGTCAGTTTAAAACAAGACATTGCTCCACATTGCCCCTTTGGCTCACTGACCTCTTCATTTCATCATCCACGGTCTTTCTCTTGTCCGATATCAAAAATCAATAATAAGATAATCAAAGAAAAAGTAAAAGTGATAAAAAAGGAAAAAGGAAAAAGGGAAAGGAAAGATAGACAAGTAAATTTTACATTTACTTTAAATTAGCACTTTCCACAAGTATTCCAATATGACGCAAAAATAAAGTTAATCATATCGTGGGAATATATGCAATAAATATGATAGTGTTTGTGAGAGAGCAATATCTTACCATCAAACTCATTGCTAATTCTGCAACACAAGGTAAATGAATCACAAACAAGAATTTTGTTAATAATTTTATTTACATATCGTACAAAACAATTAAACAGATTGCCGATCAGTACTTCATAAAAAAGTGCCTGATTACATCAATAAAAAATCTGCATAGATACATTACTGACTTCGCTCCATATGAATAATGAAAAAAAAGAAAGGAAAAATAGATGTTACTTGGCTTCATCTCTAAGAAATAGTTTGATCTGAGAAGATATGCTGTATGTGTAAGACGACATATGGAGGGACTAGAGTTCCTGGAGTTTATGATGGAACAAAAATAGACGATTCCTACAAGACAAACTATCACATATTAGTATCTGAGAATTTTTTCTTTTTTTCTTAAAATGGAGGGAATGTTGTTTTTGTTCTCTCTTCAGTGCATATGCTAAATCTTATGCTTTTTTTTACTTGCTTATGGCAATTTTAAGAATAATGGTTAAAAACACTCCTTAATTATATGGGGGTAACAGAGAAAAAGTCTAAAATTATTGAGAAATACTAACAAGTGTTTGTAAATAGCATCAAGACATCTTTTAACTCAAATTGAGTAAGGAATACATTTCACCCTTAATGTTTGAAATTGTCAACATCATCATGAAAAGGACCCAAATTAAGAATAATCTTAACAGTAACTGTATTATTTTTTTTTTTTTTAAGAGCAAATATGACACATCTTTTTGGAAGAGGAAAAAAATTACAGGGTGTTTAAAAGGGTTCCAGAAGATTGGCTTGCAATCCTTCTAAAATACATTAAGTATATTTGCCTTCTGTTTTTTGATAGTCGTACCTGGCTTCCAGTAACATTTCATCACAGTAAAAAATATTCATGTTAAAGCCTATGTATTTATTCTTCACTGGGGGCTGATTCCAAAACACAATCAAATGTTACAATATCCAAAAAACTTTGGGGCATCAAAAAATAAAAATCATATAAGAAGTTTGTGTCTGGTGTAAATGTTTGTGACACACAAGAGCACCCACAACATGAGACATCACAAATACCACCTCAAGTTACAAAACTCATTTGAGTCACTCGGTCTCTGAGACACCGACCGCAAACACACCTTGCCAAAAAGAGACGCACACTATGTCACGCACATATCGGGCCAAGGATAACTTCAGCCGACAGGAGCCAAAGCCCCAGGGTAAGGTTCCGACATATGATTTTAGGAAAAAGAGATACTGTGACCAACACACGCACACTGTAGAGTCCAAATCTCAAGACAGCTGTGAGACGTTTTCTGACCAAGCGGCTTACGAGGCTTAAGGTGTTTGTCAAGACGCTGCTTTCGAGAAGATCTGCAGAGTACCTGGTTTGACCCACGAGAGGCCATTGCTGCTGCTGCCCTCTTTCAGGGACCCCTCTGAGTCATTCTGAAAGCAATAGGGAAAGCGGTGTTAGCACGACTGCATGAAAAAGGACCCTGTTCTCTTATTAGAACTGATCAACAAAAAATACTAATCAGTACTAATAATGCAATCAAGACATAGAAAGAGAAAGAAAGAAAAAACAACAACATTAGCAGTCATCCTTAAACCACTGGTACATGCGCTGTCCACTATAATTTTTTTTGTTAATTTTATTTCGCAATCACTTAGTCACCAAGAAGTCAATTACTAGACCTACCTGACCTCATCTGTCTACATCGTTCTTGCATTTATTTTATTGAAGTACTATCGTCTTTTTTAACATTATTGTTATTAACACACACAAATGAAAATTCAAGGGAAAGGATAAACAGGTAAGACCAGTTAGCCCTATTAATTGAGTTCTTAGTGACTAACCGCCTGTGAAGTCATATATGTACAAGCAAAATCAATAGTTTAAATTCACACAGGACGGGGTAAATAAGCATGCCCAACCGGTATCAATGGGTTAGTAATCAGTAACACTGGTGCAATTTCATGCATCCATACAGGAATACCATCCTGTTGAATTATCTCCAGTAATCAATGTAAAACTGAGTATTGTAATCTAATGAAACGTCATTTAAACAAAATGTAAATACAGTAATTACCAAAATGTGCAAACTTTTCAGTTTAACCCAGAGACTACCATACACAGTACAAATTGGTTATATTTCTAACAGAGTATTAAGTACTTTATTAGCTTCCAAAATCATGTTCTGTTACTACATATGTTATTCCTTCATTCTAATTAGTTAAATACGAGAACTGGCTGACAGTTGTCACTGGGCAAAGGCACGTCTTGGCTGACTGTTCATGGGGTTAAATTTTACAGTAAGGGTACACTATAAAATTCTGAATGTTCCAAAACCTCTATTTCATAGGTATGAATGGTGATGATTCCTTGTTAATAGCAATAGCATATATTATATTACATCTCCAAAGCTTCTGATAAATTACACATTTTCCCCTAATCATATTTTCCTCCAGTGCCAAATTCTCGCACTGTTATTGTTACACAATGAAACTCAATATCACTTACTAGTTTTAGCATGAACTTAATCAATGTTCATATTTTCACTATATACAGACAGACCCAGCTATCTGTAAGGTAGATTTTCAAATGGTAAATATGATTCTTGGTACAGGAGTGAAGTTGGGAAAATAATATTTGAAAAATCTGCATGGTCTATGCACTCTAGAAAACATCATAAACATCATGCTCATTTTGTTAATGTGCAGCCTGTACATTAATTCAACAAAAAGGTCTAATACTTCAATATCATATATACTGTCATAACTGATGTCTGTATAAAAAAAACAAATTTATTCAATGGACTATTAGATGATAGTACTCTGTTACTTCAAAACCTCATTTTCTCAACTAAAAAATATATAATCCCATATTTTTCACAATATTTTAGTATCTCCATCACACTCTTAATTTACCAGTGTTATTTAAAAATCTTTGCATTTCAAAAGCAAGCCATGCATTTGGTATTCACATTTTCAATAAAGAGCCAAATCTTACTAAGAAAATTAATAATGCATACTATGCAAACATCAATTACAAGCATTTTAGTGAGAATGCTTTTACAATAATCAGTTGCTATATTTACTTATATCTAATTAAACACACTAATTAAACAAGTAGGGATTGGTATCATATTTGGGAGAGATATAATAAACACTATTTATGATATCTGTATATCTGTCTTGCCAAGAATTAATTAAACACAATAATGCACTGAACAGAATAAGAAATATGAACTGCATTATTCCCCTTATTCACATAAAAATCACAAATAAAAAAGATCACACAAAGACTTACTCTCTCCTTTTTCATTTCCTCACGAACGGGGTCATGAACGGCTGGCTGATAAGGGGAAAAGACGATTGCATGAGGGTCATTTGTAGCCGGTGGGTCATACACAATCTCCTTGCTAGCATCCACACACGCTCGAGCCCGCAGGACGAACATTTCATTGTCGCTGTCATATCTGTAAAGCCGTGTTAGTGAATTGGTATGTATCAATTTTCTACTGTCTCTTCTAACAGTATTCATGATCTATTTTAAAATATGTCAAGTTCATATCTTATGAACTTGAATGAGCTTCAAAACAATGGTATCATTACTTATATTATATCATTCTATAATTAAAGAAAATTTGAGAATGAGAGATTGAAAGGGATGGATGGAAAGGGGGGGGGAAGGGGAGAGAGAGAGAGGGGGGAGAGAGAGGAAAGGAGGGAGAGAGAGGGAGGGGGGAGAGAGAAACAGACAGACACATAGATAGACTCCAGTCCTTTAACACTCACAGTACAGCGGCTTCTGGATTAAGAGGATGGGTTGTCTCTATCTTGTAGAAACAACGGCGCACATAGAGCAGCACATGCCATAGGTGGTTTACGTTCCGACGCCACTTGTTGGCAAAGCCTCTTTTGATGTCCAGTTCCAAGGTTTCAGGGTCAATTAAGGGGTGGAACACAGGAGTTTCAAACACCACTGTCTGTACATAACAAAAAAGAAAAAAATAATGAATGTCAAGTAATGCATTATTTTCACATCATACAGCGAATATGATAATGTATTCCCATTCATCATATCTGAATGAATGAATAATCGAAGTCTTTCACTCATTTGGCATTAAAAAATCAATATAATACCTAATTCCCCAACAAAATAACATATTAATCAATGAACAATTTATCCCCAAACATATTCATGTATATATATAAGAAAAACATAAATGAGAATGAATCATTTCACTAAACAATATGTGTAATCAACATTTTAAAGAAAGCGTCATTGATATTACACGCATCTACCAATAAGAGAATCCATAAACTAATTACACATTTAACAGATCATTATCTAGATCATTTCTCTATTCTTCTATTCGAACCATGTGTCCCCATTCTATGTATTTTGCGTTTCTCTTACCGGCACATCGCCATCAGGATAATTCTCGGGGATGTGGAGGTTAAAACGGAAGATTCCCTCTTGGTACATTCCCTGACGGATGAAGATGACTCCAAACCACACTGTTGAAGGGGAAAAAAGGAATTAATATATTCATTCTCTAATGTCCTGAGAAGATTTCATTCAGTGTGTACTGTAACATGGAGGGAAAGCCGATTCTCTCATGTTACGAGGAAAGCTAAATAAATTCTCAAGATTAATAATAATAAATCAATAAGGAGCTTTCGGTCTTGTCTTTTAAAGTCTTTACAAAAGTGCCTTAAAATTCTGTTATGCCATCACTAATGAAAAAGGAAATTTATTCTCACTTTCATTTGAGTTTTAAAACTAGAGTTAGGTCAAGGAGCCTAGACAAAAAATAAAAATAATGAACAAATGGCATACTCCTAGCAGGCTTTCACTTCCGTACAAAGCCATCACCATCATAGCCAAATTAGCATCAGAAACAATGAGATGCATAAAAAAATAATAATAATAAATAAATAAAAAAAAACAGACCTAAATTTTGAAAGAGAACATCAATTCACTCTACACAATACCCAATATTCATTACAACAACAACAAAATCTATTCGAAATGCAGACTTACCAAGCGGTGATTTGCCAGATGGCACAACATAAACTCCTGATAGTCTCTGCTTCTGCAATAGATTACTGCAAGAAACAAAGGAACTATAAGGTTCAGAGTGCATGTTACTGTGCAGCTAAATCAACAGAACTACAATACATTTTATGGTGATGTCACTCATCAAATCGGTGGAAATACATCATGGGGAAAGCCAAGAAGACAGGGTCTAAACAATTTAACAACAATAACAATAACAATAATAATAATATAATAATAATAATAATAATAATAATAATAATAATAATAATAATAATAATAATAATAATAATAATAATAATAATAATAATAATAATAATAATAATAATAATAATAATAATAATAATAAATAATATAAATTAATAAATAATAATAATAATAATAATAATAATATAATAATAATAATAATAATAATAATAATAATAATAATAATAATAATAAATTAATAATAATAATAATAATAACTAAATAAATAATAACAATAATAATAATAATAATAATAATAATAATAATAATAATAATAATATAATAATAATAATAATAATAATAATAATAATAATAATAATATAATAATAATAATAATAATAATAATAATAATTAATAATAATAATAATAATAATAATAATAACAATAATAATAATAATAATAATAATAATTAATAATAATAATAATAATAATAATAATAATATAATAATAATAATAATAATAATAATAATAATAATAATAAATAATAATAATAATAATATAATAATAATAATAATAATAATAATAATAATAATAATAATAATAATAATAATGATAATAATAATGATAATAATAATAATTAAAAAACACCTCCACAATAATCTGTTCTACACAAAACTACGAATCTCTCTCTCTGACAAATCAATCTCAATAATGACCATCTCCTAAACACTAATACAAATT